TCCGGAAAGGCAAGACAAAGACCCGTATCGTTTTCAACTTTTACTTTTCTCACTGAATTCTGACTACGAACAAATAATGAATCCTATCTGTGTCCGATAATTGAAAACATTCCACTGTTAGGATAATATTAAATAAATTTTTACCAAAGATTTCAATTGTTCAATATCAATTGATTGATGTTCATTATTATAAATTTCCACTTCATAAGGAATTAAGAATGCTTGACAATATGTTTCAATATACTTAATAATTGCCAATAGTGAATCAAAGAGTAATCGAACTAATGCTTGTCGTTCTGTTCCATTTGAAGATTTTCTTATTAGTTCATTAATATAAGTTTTTAATTCTCGTTGTTTATCAATAATTAATGGTGATTGAATGTCTGAACATGTGATTTGTATAGTTTTAATATAATTTATTAACTCCTGAATCGATTTAATTTGTTCATCGATTGATAATAATGGTAGATTTGGATTGATTAAATGATTAATACATTGTTCAATTTGTTCAAATTTTGTATTAATATTTTGTCGAAATTCTTCAATCCAATGTGAATCAAATAAACGTACTTGATCTGACGATTTACTTTGTTTATTTTTATTTGATGTTTTTGTGAATCTAAAATATAATTAATAAATTAAGATTCCAAGAAAAATAACAAATTTACTTTGTTTGTTTAATTGTTTGAAAATATTTTTCATGTTGATTTAAATAAAATTGTTCAAAACTTATTTGATCATGTTTTTTTTCATATGTTATAATTGGTTTTTTAACAAGTAAAATTTGTAATGGTTTTAAAGAATTAATACAATTATAAACATATTCAATATCACATAGAGCATCGTCATTACATAGATATTCCTCATAAGATCGTAATTTAAATATTGATTGTTCATAATCAAATGGTTGTATTTCATGTAATTGTGACATAATACTTGCAACTGTTACTTGTAAATATACTTTTGGTAAACGTACTGGTTCTTTAGAACCATCGGTAAAAATATGTATTGTTACAAATAGTTGATTTCGTTCGATATGTTGAGATGTTAAACGTTTTACACGTTTACAATAAACTATTTCATCTATGGATGACTAAAATTTAAACAAAAAAAAAAAGTTTTATCATGTAAATACATTTCATAGAATATATTGATGTGTTAGAATGATTTGTTTCAGTAGGGGAAATCTGAATAGAATTCTAATATTTTACCTGTTTAGATTGACATTCATTTCGTATACGTTCAACGAGTTGACTGAATGGTTTCATTTCAGAGCAGGCTGTTAATTTTAATCGTAATTTAATTGGATATGGAAATAAAGTAGTAGGAGATGGTATGGGAATATCAGGTGAAACAATAGGTGGTGAAACTGGAGATTGAATAGGCTGCATCAATGGATCAAATGTATCAAGAATAGATAATTCATCAATAGATCTCATATCAATTAAATCTGTACTATCGATATTTGCGTTACTTGGTCTTCTATCTATATGCACAAAAGATGAATTAGAGAAACTGTTTCTTTATATCTTTCTGAAATAAATTTACTCATTTCGTTTGATATATTTTCTATTGTGTTGAATACTTGTGGAGTATCTAAACGGATCTGTCTTTGTAACGGTAATAAAGATCCAACACTATTGGTTGAAAACCGTCTTGGAAAAGAAAACATATCTGGATGATAAGGATTTATTTGATAAGGTGAAGTTGAAGCTGATGGAAAATTAGGAGTTGTTGTAATTGATTCTGATCTTGGTAAATCATTAGAGGTTGATGGTAAATTTAAACGAGGTACTGCAGGATGTCGGTTATTTGGTAAATTAGGTAGTACGCAATTGGAGGATGACATCGTTGTTTTTGACGAGGAAGAGAAGTCGGCAGTGAAGACAAAGTCCGAGATTACAAGTAAAAAGTCAAGATGTTTAAGGTGACAGTTGTTTATAAAGAAAGAGAAAAGAAGTTTTCGAGATTATCAGATGATAACAGCCATGTCTAAGAACGAAAAACATCCATGAAAAGATAACGAAAAAGACAGAAAAAAAGACTTCAAATGGATATTTGATGAGATCGAATGATGGGCACATTATAAAATAGATGGCGTTGTTTAATGGTTAAAACTACCATTTTATTATTAGTTTTTACTAATTTTTCACCTTCTCTATGTGTGGGTAAATACATATTTTATTTAAAACTAAAAGGATTTCATATATATTCGAAAAAATACATGAAACGTCACTTATGAAAGAAACCTAATAGAACGAAAGAAAGCGATAACTATAGCGAACACATACATGTAAGAATGAAAATATGGATAATACCTATACTATGATTCATTTTAAAGTGCATTAGAAATACATGCCATAATACAATTACGAATTGAATATATAGTTCGAGGATGTTCATCTATTCTCTTATAGTCGTTATTATTACATTAATGAATGGATAATTTAACTGGATTTGTTTACTTTAGGTTTTAAGCGTTTACTTAATTTTTTCACTAGTAGATTTGTCTTATTACTCACTTGACTACTGCTTTTTAAGGAAAAATGATTGTTATACGGTTTGATACATTGCCAAATTATGTACAATAATATTTAGAATCATTTTCTATTGAATAATATATTTATTCTCGAGTATATTGTTAACCCATTTGGAAGAAATGACCATCATAGTAGTGATGAATTGTTTTTAAACAATAGAATATATCATGCATGAAAGATTAGAAATAGATGTAAAATCTATGAAGTATGTTCATTGAAGTTATATATATGCCTATATCTATACTCTATCAATGTATCACATTTTAATTTCCTGAATGAAACAATGGTCCAAAGAATTCAATTCTCTATTAAAGAAACCTGTTGAAATTGATGCCTTCTCATTTTTCATCATATAATCAGTCACGAAATACAACGATGTGTATTAATAAATTTAAATAAAATATTAATTGTATTAAATTCTTATTCTTAAACAATGATTTTATTTATTTGTAAACAAATGTGTATTTTTATCTGAAGTTAATAAATCAGTTACAGCACTTTGTCCAAGTACATAAGCTAATTTTAAAGCATCTTCTTTTGCATATAATGCTGTACATGTACTTGGTTCAACTGTTTGATTCGTTCTTGTTGTTGTTGTTGTTGTTACTGTTGTTTTCTTTTCTTCAACATGTGGTAATGTTAAAAAGTGTACAATTTCTGGATAGAAATTTCCATAGGATGGTAAATCATAGAATAATATATGTCGTATACCTTTAATACGATATCGATGATAAAAATGAAAACGTTCTGTCATTAATAAAAACCGTACTTCACGATGATAGAATATATTTCTTGCTAGAAGTACTTGTTTTTTAGTTGAATATTCACTTAATGTTAAATAATTAAATTGTTTATGTTTTTCTGTTCGCATATAATTTCTTAAACGAACAAAATCAAAATATGATGATAAATATATTAATGTATGATCATATGTTGATGTATCAAAACGTGGAAGAATATTTTCAATAAAATAATTAAATCTTAATGTTGGATCACATACAGGTATACGTTGAAATAATTGATGAAATGTTGATAATGGACGTATATAACCATTTAAAGGAAAATATGGTTGAATTAAACATTGTCCAAAATAATTTGTTGAAAAACGATGAAATAAACTAAGAAATAATGGACTTGTAAATGATGATACAACAATTAATTGACGATACAAACGTGCCCAACCATTTAATGACCAATGACGTATACGAGAAAAATCTATTTTTGATGTTGCTTGTTGTGGAATAGTATTTAAATTTTCTAATATATAAAATAAATGATCAAGATTTTGCATAGATAATACATCTAATTGATCAATATAAACACATTCAATTGATGAAAGAAAATCAGCAATTGAAGATGAATTATTATCTGTTGAATTTTTATTATTATCATTATCATCATCATCAGATCCAGAATTGTCCGATGATTCTTTATGTTTACGTTTTTGACGACGTTTTTCAAGTAATGTTCGAAGGCCAACAGGTGAAACAATAAGAAAATCAGATTTATATACCGATTGAAAAAATTTCAACGATTTACGCGTTACAGATATACCTAAAATAAATTAAGATAAAAGAATATTATAAATCTAACTTTTTTTCTAAGACTATCGAAAGATTTAATTTCTGATGGTTACTAATAAGATATTTTAATGATTACCCCTTTCGTTACAATAGTATAAAAAAAGCTATGCACAGAAAACGATGTGCGATCTCTTGAAAGCAAATTAAACAGGGTATTCTATGAAAGAGTGTGGGTGTAGGTTTCTCTTTTTCTTCGACGTTCACAACCACACCCACATCCTCAAAACTGTTTTTTGTTATCTCATGAAAACATTCAATAAGCTTTACAACTAATAAACGTTAGCAGTTAAACATTTTCGTTCAAGTAAAGCAAAGTTTAGTGCTACTTCTATTTCATATATCACATGCGGAAATAGATGAATCCCCTTCTACATATGTCTCTATCAGCCGTAAACTGCAATTTTCGAAAAGGCAAGGTCGGACGCTTCTCAATCTGTCACTGGTTCTCATCTCTAAAAACTGCTAGATTAAAAATTTACTGAGTTTGAAAAAATCTTATAAGTACCTAATCGAAAATGATCATCAATATTTCCAGCAAATATTTCATTGTATTCATCTGATGTTCGCTGAAATTTGCCATCATTATTTTGTTTATCAATTTCACCACCACCATATTCTTCTTGAAATCTTTTTCGATGACTAATTTGTATTTGATCAGTTTTTTCACTATCATCTGTATTTAATAAGAGATTTTCAAAACAATCTATAATACGACGAACACTTTCACGAAATGGTACAATAATAAGAACTTTCGGTCTTGTAAAACCTTGATCATGATAATCAAGATCAGGATTTTCTTTTAATTTTGCATTATGTGATAATATACGTGCACGAGTTTTTAATACATGATTAATTAAATGTAAACAAATAACAAATCGTAATTGTTCACCAACATCATTTGTATTCGTTCGATTTGGATAATACATATCATGATAATTATGAATTAATGAAAAAAAATCTAATTGTAATGGTGTTAATTGACTACCTGATGATTCAATACTTGACAAAAGAGATTTTTTTATTGCAAATGAATCAAGTGTATTTACTGGACATGGTAGAATAGGAGATTTAGTTGATGAACTTGATGTGAATTGACAAGTACCAAGTGATGATGATGATAATTCAATCGTAGTTTTAGATGCTTTATTATTAATTTCTATTTCATCAATTAATGTTTCAAAATGTGAAAGAAATGGATCTTCTTTACTCGTAGTTTCCATTGAATTATAATCTGAAATAACATAAAAAAGGAGTTTTTAATCATACTGATAAAATAGAAAAACAATTCGGTATATCTCGATTAACTGGCATATTCTTCAAAACTATTATTCATATGTTTATTATGATAATAAACTAAATTTCGATGAATGGTTACTTAAACGGAAACCATTAAGTTTTGTGTATGAATTTAGTTTATATGGCTATAATTTAATGATAATTTCGAACAAAAAGAAAGAAGGATAAAGTGAGCATAGAGTCTGACGGCTACTTTGAAGCTAGAGTATTTAGAGAGAAGAAAAAGGCTTTTAGATATACATTTATGTCATAGCCGAATTGATCAATTAGAATGCAAGTGTTGTAAAATTTGAAATCTCATATAACAAACTAGATCATTAGATAATTTTACAGTATAACTTACTGCAAGATTTCAGAGATGAATAGTTTTTGTACTAATTTTCTCTGGTTTATACAGTGCTCACAATTGTTCTCTTTTAAATTAACTAATTATTTTCAAGATGATAACAATATTTTATTTGAATACACAATAAAATAGACCAAAATGGACTCGAAGAACTTAATAGAGTTCGAAAATTAGTTTTTTTTTATTTCGACGTATTTTCCAAGAGTTCCAAATAAACCCAACTTCCAACCGGAATTTACATTACTCATATCCAATCAAAATCTTTTGAATGAAAAGCGTCATCTATTTATTTTACATAATTAAATAACTATATGAAAACCTATAAATATCTTATTCTTAATGTAGAAAAATAAAATTTTATCATATCACTATAATATTTATACCATCTTTCTCGAATAAACTTGTAATTCTGATTGGTCAATGAACATGAGACAAAGACATGACTGTGCCTTATATATATATATATATATCCCCCCTCCTCTTCTCTCTTTCGAAATAAGAATTAATCGTACACGCAATATTATTTATCATATTGGTATTTGTTTTTTTTTTAAATTTTCAATAAATCTTCAATATGTTAGCGGTTGCATCACTTAAACGTTCATTAGAATTCGATCCTGTTGAACAAGGTGTTAAACGTAAACGGGCCGAAATAAAATTATCACCAACACCATTTACATTAAATAATAATAATTCAACATCTCCTTCGAAACAACAACAACAACAATCAATACTTACATCATCATCATCATCATCATCATCTGATAAAAAACAACTATTAAAATCATCTTCCCTTACCACTTTACCACCACCATCATCAGCTGATGATACTCCAATGTTTACTTATATTCAAACAGCTCAAATGTGTGCTCGTCTTTTACGCGAACAAGATAAATCAATACGTGAACAGTATGAACAACTATTAACGGCAAAATATAATGAACAATATGAACAATTTGTGAGATATTCACATGATAATGTTCATAGAAATTCATCACAACAAAAACTATTTCATTTTGGTCAACAACAAGAATCGGATAATACATCCATCGCTGATTTTTCTTATATTTCATGAACATTTTTTTTTTCTTTACATACATTTTTATACATATGATATTATTTCTTCTCTTCATTTAAATGTTTTGCCATATACATACATATTATAGTTATTAAAACAAAAAATCATGAAATTATCGAATTAAAGCTTTTTTTTTATTTTAAAAACGAATGTATAGGTATTATTTTCGAACTATTCATTTCAATCGATATAAAATATGAAAAGTAGACAGTTTTGTAAATAAATGTATCATCAAGATCTTAAAAGAAGGTTAAATGATTTATTCATAACGCTCAATTCATTTTATATCGGTTTTCATATTCTCAAGTTTATGTTATTATTGATTGTCCTTGTTAAGTAATGTACATGTGAAAATGTATATCCTTTTTATACTTAACAAATATATATTTCTATTAAAGATTATGATAAAGTTTGATATATATATCTAGTTTATCTCTACCATTCATTGTTTTAAATAATTGTTATATATATTGAAACAATTGTATTAGACATACTTTTCTGTAAGTACACGCAGATATTTATAAAAGTCAACTGTTGTATGTTTTCTTTTAAAATATGCATTTTTTTGACCTTATTTTAAGTATGAAAAGTTTCTAATACTAAGTAGTTAAAATATAACCAACCAGTTGCCATAATTAAAATTTTAAATTTCATGATTATCGTTAATTGAAATTTTTGAATGTGGTTTTTCATGTGACATGGATTACAGTTTTCAATAGATGTATTATACGTTTAATATCCTTGAAATACAGAATAATACCTAATATTCTAACTATTCATCACCCATAATCTTTTTTCATGAGAAATATAAACGCATTAACAACATCATATGACAAGACGAGAATAGTTCTTACTAATGATTTATCTAACACGACGTATGTACTTGTGAAAATAACTCACATTCAAGGTTATGACCTTTAATTAGATGTTTAATTTAGACGATGAAAGTAAAAATTTGCTCGTTATAGATTCAATATCAGGAATAAAAATGATTCCTTGTATAAGTGAATTATGTCATTTTTTTCCTGTGTGTGATCAATCTATTTTGTTATTCGAAATAATATCAAGTATCTTTTTCTCGATATCAAACGAGGAACAAGAAAAAACATAATCATCACACGTACACACAAATAAACGTACATAAAAAAAAGAGAGAAGATGAGCAGAAATAAATGAAACAACAAACAAACAAACCAAAATAGCGGGCAGGAAAAACACAAGAATAAATATACACACGCGCATGCGCGCATACACATTAAAGGGATATAGAAATCCGCAATGATGATAATAACCAGACAAACAGACATATATCAAGAATCAGAAGTAGTCACCGGTGTTGTTGATGCAAAATTATGGGTTTTATTCGTTGGAAGAATACGATGAAGTTGAACGAATTGAACGAGAGCACATGATGATGGCGATGATGGTGGTGGTGTTGATGGAACAACATGTGAGTGATGATGTGGCGAAAAAAATGGTGTTGATTGAGACAAAACATATGTTGATGGTGATGATTTGGTATAAAATGATTGTTGTTGTTGTTGTTGTTGTTGTTGCTGTTGAGAACTATCTATTTCATTATTATGTATCGTCAATGATGATGAAGATGGTGGTGGTGTAGGTGGCGTTGATATAAGCATCATCTGTTGAGGTGTAGATATAGGAGTAGTTGAAGGTAATGACGGATGAGGCAAAGGTGATGTTGATGGTGATGGTGGTTGTGGTTCAACTAATGTACGTAATGCTAGATCAACACGACGTGATGAACATGAATATGGATGATCAAGTTCGATCGACGTTGATGGCCTATATTTTCCACCTGTATTTAATGCTAATAATGAATTAAAATTATCTACATGATAGAATGAATCATTTAAATAGATTGAATTTGATGAAGAAGATGATTTCGATTGATAATGATGAGCTAATGATGTTGTATGATCATGAACGGTTAAATGTGAATGTAGATTATATGATTCAGTTAGTGATGGTTGTGATGAAAGTTGCCATAAGATAGGTCTAAGAGACAATAAAATCAAAGTTTTAATTAAATATTATACTTACCTTGAATTTGATACGTACTTGTCTGTGAAATGTGATTTGACTTTTGATGAAGAAGAAATAGTTTCATCGATAGAATCATTATTCTCCTGTTCAATATGACGATCATAAAGCAATCTAAATTAAAATTTCAAATTCAATACGCATTGCATCTGATAGAAAATACTAAAGATATATACCTCCCGCCTCGACCGATTCGTACTCGTCGCTTGCCATGATGATTACCATCAAGACAAGCAAGAGAGTGATATGAAGAATAGCTGGAACGTTGTGACGGAACACGCTGTTGTTGATCCTGATCAATTGGCTAATAATTAAAAAAAAATGAATATTAAGATATTGAATTCAAAAAGTGATGAGATTGTTTATGCAAGAAGTTTCGATTAGAAATTATTCTTGACAGTTTCTTTTTATCATATTGTGTAATAGTTTACAAATTCAATAAAGTGTTTAAAACCCAAGAATAGTTTTGAAATCTCTCTAAAGAAACCGTTGATAGTTATTTCTATTTTAGAATCGTCTATTTATTAAATTTCATAAGTTCTTTTTCTGTTCGAAGTGAGCAAAATAATTTAACTAAATCTTTAATATAAATAAACATTTGATTATGTAAATTACCCTAAGATATCTGCATCCCGCTTTAGGGCGAAATTGCCAAGGATCAATTGATTCTTCATCATCAATACTCGTTCCGATTTCATCTAGTCTACTATTTATATTTTCATTTGTATTAGATAATACAGATGAACCATCTTGCAAAATAACACGACGATTTGTATTATTTTCAAGCTCCTAAAAGAATAATATTAAACATTAAAAAATATATTTTTATTTTTGTTAATGAATTCTTACCTCTTTTTGCTGCAATTTTCTTGCTGCTTCAAGAAGTTGAGCTTTAAGCAAAATGGCACCTCCCGGTGTACTATCAGCTAGATTCCATAGATCAGCAGGTGATAGATTTCGATGATTTTTTCCTTGTTTAAGTGTTCCTGATAGAGAATTTTTTAAACGACGTCGACCAATCTGTTGTTGTGTAGGTGAATAAACAACATTTGATGGTGACAATCGTTCAAGTATAGATTGTGGTGGGATAGATGTTGATTGTAATCCCATATTATGTACATTAGGTGTTGTTGGTGAAGATAATAATTGTGTAAGTTTATCAGTCTAATAAAAACAAACAAATAAATAAATAAAATAAACTAATTAGATTCTTTTGAAAACATACATGATTAGTTTTTTTATGTGATGCTTTAAATCTTTTTATTTTTTGTTGTAATGGATCATTAGGATCAATTGATAATGATCGTGATTGTATAGGAGTTTGTAGTAGACTAGCTAATGTTGATGTTGGCACATGATTCTTTTTCTGATTTTCAATACGAATCAATTGTGCTAATAACTGTTGATGTTGAGTAGGTGTTAGATTATTACTACTGTTCATCAATGAAGATGTTTTCAAATGGGAACGAGCATGATGATGTTGATGATGATGATGTCGATCATGATTAGTCGGCAACGATGAAGTCGATGTCGTTTCGTCATCTGGTTTCGATTCGCATCTGGACGAGCATAGAATAAAAAGGCAGACAACACACAGAGCTCCCTAAGCGAGACTCTCCGGTTGCCACCAACGACGGGTGGACAGGCAGCGTACCGTGCTTGAAAAATTGCTAGTGCGCATTCGAGCCACGATGCTTTGGTTGTCTCACGTAGTTTGATCAGATTTGTTAACTTACTGCAAAAAATATATAGATCCTTTTTTTTATAAAATAATCAATGAATTCTATTTAATAACGTACACGACGGCTTCGAAACTAGAACGTAATTTGAGCATTGACATATATGCTTGCTCATCATTCTTTCGATTCTATAAGAACAAAAAAAATAAATATAAAATAAAAATGAAAATATCATTTTTAAGATTTATTACTTTTCGTGTAGTCATTTTTTCTACACGCCGTCGAAAAGCAACATATGGGTGATGTTTCCCCTTTTCTTCTTTGATATCACGTTCTGTGAGCAAACGTGGCTTCAATCGTTTGTTCTAATTATTATTGATAAAAGAAGAACAAAAAAAAAAGCTGAAATGTGATCAAATCTTTTAAAACACATTAATATGTGTTTGTGTCTAGATGTTTTTTTTTTAAAGATAAGATTTATACTTAAAAAATGTACCCGTATTGTTCGTCGTTCATGCCAAAAATCATAAACTGTTTTTATATGTAAATCATTGATAATTGATGGTGTTGATGATGCAAACAATGTTCGTGCTTCATCCAACGAGACAAGTGTTCGCGTACTTGCATTCTCAAGTTTATCAATAATTGTTTCATATTCAAGATATGTAAGTTCTGGACATAAAGTTCGAACGGATTTATTGAACCAATTATGATCAAGTTCATCCATATCGTATTCAGGTTCATCAGATTCAAGTTGTAAAGCTAGGAAATAGAGACAATTGAAGATATATAAAAGATTATTTTTTTTGTTATTATATACGCTGTAAACGAATAAGTTGTTTAGGTAATTCAATATTCGGTGGATATATAGATTGACTATTTGGATCTTCATATAGATTAGGAATAGGTACAGCACGAATTTTTGCTGAACCAAGTCGACGTTGAGCATCGAGAGCATTTTGAAGATGATATTCCTAGAAGTAAATATTTTGTTTTTCCTTAGAAAATCTTCTATTCATTTTTAATTCTTTCAACTCAAATTTGAATACATAGATTTTCAATGAAACCCTCAAATAGTATAAGAAGTGGCTGTCGTCTATAGAATCATTTGAATTCAAATGATTGTATATTTAATAGAGAAATGTAAAGTTTATTAAAAAGAATAAAAATTATTATTTACCGCTTCTTCGTCTCGTTCCATGCCTGATACGAATGGCATTTGTGGTGCACATCGTTGTGGTAATTGTGGAGTCGATCCAGTTGACTGTTGAGTTGATCCAGTTGATTGTTGAGTTGTTTGATTTGTGGATGTGTTTGTGGATGAAAGAGAAACGAGAAGATTGTTACTAGAAGTTGATTGTGTTGATGAATTTGTAAGATCATTATTATTATCATCATGTTGGTCGATGAGCAGTGGTATACGTTTACTCGGATCAAGATTTCGTGCTCGAAAAAGAGGTCGATTCATCGAATCTAGAAGAAATTTTTCGATATTTTCTTTTTTCTTTCCTTTTCAAAATTAAAACGTAACTATATAAAATACGAAAAAAGAGAAATGCACTCGTTTACGCACACACATACTATTACTACTAGTAGATGACTGACTGGCTGGCTGAAAATCAATATGTACATCGAACATTTGCCCCACCGAATTCGGACGATGAATGAATGAACTACACGATCATTTTTTTCCTTTTTTCTTTCTGTATATATATATTTAGGCGACGAAAGATACACGTGGTGATGAAGATTTTTCTTTTCCCTTTTCGCGCGCTTGTTACGTTGTTTTGTTTTGTTATAGATATAATAAATGAAATCAATTTATCCAGGGGGAAAACAAACATATAAATTATATATATCAATGAAGGACATCTTATGAACAAAGAGTCTATTATCTGAAATGAAAGAGAAGACAAAAAAGAAATTCTAAAAAGGTCATTTAAGTACATTAAGTAATTTTTTCTATTTTAATTTCATCAACTATAATAAAACATTAATAAAAGAAGTGTATGTGTATGAATGTATATATATTATTTTTTTTCGTTCTTCATACTATCACATGCCACGTCATCATTCTTTATTACGACGACAAATAAAAGTAGAAAAAAAAGCATGATTATCATTCGTTAATAATATTAAATATAGATAGAGAAGAACACTTTTATAGAAGAAAAATTTAATAAAAAAATAACAACTATATTTGATCTTGTATAGGTGTCATCGATCTAAAGTTTATTTATGACATGTAACAAGGTCAATTCGCCGACACTCCTCTCGTTATGCAATAGGAAGAAGAAGTATAGACGACGGATGTCAGAAGATAGATAGTGTATTTTCTTTCATTCTTTTTTTTTATTATATCCATTGAATAAATTCGAATTTATTCTATATTAAACTTCAGAAAAATGGACAAAATTTATTTCACTTCGTAATTAAACATTATGTAGTTCTATACTTCCTTAGAAAAAGTGGGTGTGCTATTAATATAAAATGAAAAGAAAGAAAAAGAGAATAAATTTTAAGGTATATATAAAGTCATTAATAGACGGCAAGCTGTGCTCAGTATATAATTGATTCTGTCAGCAATGCCTATATGTAATAAACTAACAATTTTTAATATTTTCATTAATTTTTTTTTTGTCTTTGCTATTTTGTTAATAATCATCAACAACAGTGGATAGAAGACTCAAATGATACGATCGTTTTCTCGTGCTTTCTCTATTTTGTACTTCTCTCTCGTTTTCGCTCTCCCTCTTTCCCTCGTTCCCTTCCAACCTTTTCTCCTTCACAGTACATCCCGCATACCATCATGATACATACATGGCCATTTGTGCTCGCGCGCTTGTTCGCAAAAATGAATCGCGCGCGCGCGCGCGCTCGCGATAAGAGAGCGACCGAGCAAATAAGCAAACGGACGCTTTTTCTTCTTTTCTTTTTGCCTATCGTGTATGTATACGCAAGCACACATTGCTTTTTTTCCTCTCTTCTTCGACGACCAATGTATAAGGGATATATAGTATTTCAAGCCTGCAGTCGTTGTCGTCGTCGGTTTATTTCTATCTATTATTCACTTACGAATGAAAGAAAAAAAAAAAAAAAAGAATGTCAAGCAAGCTATCGGACGAGTGCGCTCGAGTACGAATCTGGATAACGACGCCATTTCTTTTTTCTCTATATATATATGTGCGTTCATTATATGGTCGAGAATCGGAGAAAAAAAGAGAGAGAACGAGAGAGACAGGGAGAGAGAGAGAAAGAAAAAAAAGAAATAAGAGAAGAATATAAACACTTTCTACGTACAAAATATACAGAAGCATATCATGATGAGAAACCTTTGTAAAACTCTATTAAATTTTATATGGTCATGTTAAATTTTATTACTGTAAATAGTCTCTTGAAATCCAAGTAAAAATTTAGTATACTTAAAAAAAATTGGAAGGTTTTCTTTGTATATATATATAACTTGGTTGGCAGCTAAGGAGAATTTACTTACTGGAGAGAAGAAAAAAAAA